CCCCCCATCCACCTCTATCACCTTCGTCATCCCATCACTGTCATTGCCATCATCACCGATGCCCTCTGTCATCGTCATCGTCACCTTCACCAAAATCGTCGTCGTCATCATCATCTTATTCTTATTGTTCTTGTTTTCCATCTTTTTCTTCTACTTCTATTACTACTTTTTCTTCTTCTTCTTCGCAGGATTTTTGTAGTGAAGACAATGGCAATGTTGTTTTCGACTGTTGTTGAGTAGATTTATTGGTGATTTAGAACTGTTGGTTTACGATTATTTTTACTTTTCTCTTCTCTTTCATATTTTACAATTAGTTTCACTTTTCCTATTTGTTCTAATTAAAATTTTTTGTTGGCTATTAGCTCATCTTCAAAAGTTTCTATTCATTTTTGCTGCTATAGTGCTCGTTTAATAAGACAGTTTAGCATCTAGCAAGTTTATCTTCTTTTTTTTTTCCACCTTCTAAATGCGACCGATAATGATTATTTTTACACGGCTGAAAAAAATTCCACTGATATCCGTTGTAGATGTTCTTTGAAAACCGACAGTACACTTATATTGTCGACAGAGAAAATTTTGGAAGTAACCTGGACTAAAAAAACATCAAATAGGATACCCGTTGTTTTATTCCTCTAAATTAATCAACAGAGAAACAAACTGTTTTGTTTTGAGTTGCAAATTTTAATCAAATTGACGTCTCACAAGTGTTCAAAAGAAAAAAAAAAGGGAAGGATCACTGGGATTTTTCAGTACAATTTAGAATTTAAATCAACAAGTTTCTGAAGTACTTTTTTGAAGAATTTTTCGCATGCAGTTTGGAAGCGATCGATTATTGCTTTTCCGGATAAATACCAAACATTCATTTTTTTTTCCCCAAACGACATTTGTATATATGAATGGTTTTTGTTCCGTTAAATAATTAGAGGAATTAATTTTTCGCAAGTATTTTTGTTCCCTTTTTTTTTTTCCCGCAAAGAATTACCGCACATTTGTCGTTCACTACTTCAGTATTAGGTGCTTTCATTTAACATTAGAAATTAAATAAATGAATAAATGAATGAATAAATAAATAAATAAATAAATAAATATATATATATATATGTATATATATATATAAACACTTCTTACTGTTTTCAGAAAAAGCAAATGTTTTTTACACTTAAATGGACGTAACATAGGAGCTGCTGGTGAGTCAAAAAAGAATTATTAAAACTTTGTTGGCAAAATAAACAAAACAGAACAAAAAAAAAAAACTATATATTCATATGTATTGATGGCCTCGGAGATTTAGCAGTTTGATTTGGAAAAAAAAAGAAATTTTTTTTGCTGCTGCGATAACATCAGTCTGTAAATAGTGTATCGCCACCGTTGGCAGCACTGCTGTTTTTGTTTTCACCTAAACGAGCACTTCGAAGAGTACACAAACGCCGTTTCAGAACGGTCACTATGGTACAGATCCATTAATGCACTTTTCTAAGCTCTAGTAACTGCTCCATACAGATCTTATCAAACTGAAATTATCCTGAGAAGAATAAAAAACTGATGCCGCTGGATAGCAATTTCTCGACAAAGAAGTAAGCAATCGTTACTGGAGGAATGCAAAAATGGAGAAGGAAAATCAGCTTCAAAAATTTTTATATAGTACTGATAAAGACTCTACAAAAATTGAATGACAGCTACAGCAGACTATTTGTATACTACGGAATAGTTCAAAAGAGAAGGATAGGCTGGATAGCTAAAATTTTTGCCTAAAAAGAGATTCATTGCATGGATTTGCTTTAAGCTCAGCAATTCATTTGGGTAATTTTTCATCAACAGCCAAAGACACGTACGCACAAATGCATTAGTCAGCTGAAGACATTGCTAAATTTGGGGAACATGTATCTATTACATATATTCTTTTTTGTTCTAGTGCTAATATTAGCTAAAGACTATAACATTATTGAAGCAGATGTAAAAGTTGCTTCACTTTTAACCGCTTATTCAACAAACAGCCAACATTTCACCATTATGGCTATTGAAGGTCCCCACAAATAAATTTGTTAGAAACCACTAAAAAAAATGGTCGGCACTTCATAACGATTCCAGTGTCACTGATTATTTGCTTAACCACTGCTTATTTCAAGCTGTTATTTTTAAACGCTTCTAAATTGTGTTTTTATGTCTTAATATTGACATAAATGAAAATAAAACAGTTTTTTCACTGTCAAAAAACCGTTAAAAAACTATTTACTTTCTAGAAACAAAAGCCATGTTAACTGGAATTTTTTTTCCCGCATTTGCAGTAGGGAGCATGAATGGCTTTCTTCTTCATCAAACACATCCACCTCTAAAACTTTTTTGTCAATTTCCTTTTTTCTGAGCCAAAAGTAACTCTTCTATTCAAAAAGCTTTGCTGATGCAGATGCTCATTAAGTGTTGCGGAACAACACTTTGCTGAAAATGTTAGGGCATCAAAAAAAAAAAAAAAAAGAGATGAAAAAGACAGATATATTTATGTAGTTTAAATAAGTTTGAACCAGATGAACACATCAGCAGTTATCAGCGAGTGTAGTGTAGGATTAGTAGTGAATTATAGCAGTTCCAGCCTTGCCTTTCACTACCAAATAAACTCTCCTAGAAAAAAAAAAAAACTAAAAAATCTTTACAGTAAGACACTGGAACAAAAAACTTCTTTGATTAAAGAAGACCTTTATAAATCTAGCTCGTGCAAAGAAACCAAGCTTTATGAATTTCTATTTGGCAAAAAGAAAAATAAATAAATCAGAAAAAAAATGCAATGTAAATGATTATAAAATAACCAGAAATGCACCTGCTTTTTACGCCTTCAAAATAATGTTTGTATAAAAAAGATGATTAATCAAAGGAAATATACTAATATTTAAACAAATAAAAAGCGTTTATAAATTATTGAAAGCATCTCCGAGAAGTGATGAAAAGAGAAAAGTAAACATCGAAATAGTACCAAGCTGAGGTAGTAACACAGTTTTTGATGAAAAAATACAGCTGAGTACTGAAACTCCAATGTGAATTCAAGAAAAACTGAAACACTAAACGACTTCAGTTTAACAATGATTTACGACATTCGACAAAGAAGAATAGTAAAAAGCAGTTAAGCAAAATTCACTCAATTAATTCAGCAACACTATTTCCCAGTCGGCTGAAGATGAACCTGAAGTAATTGTGCGGAAGTGACTGTTAAAAAATTAAAGAATGGAATCAACACCAACCGAGCGGTGCACCCAGGCGGACCTACTTTTCTTCTGTTTACTCCTACTCCTCCTTTCAGTAACAGTTTTTCGGTATCTAAAGTTTTAGCATTAAAACTTACCCGACAAACACCTAGTTCGTTTTTCAAATTTTGGCGCTCACAAAAGGCGTCTCAGATCAAAGAACAAGGACTTTTCAAGCAATTGACTTGCAATTTTGTTTATGGTTCAAGAAAAAAATTCTTTTGCACCTTCCGCCGGTATTTTATCTTCTTCAGATGTTTTAAACTTGTGGCTTTATCAGTTGCCCCTCATAATGTTTGGCATAAAAAAGTTCTTTTTTTTTTTGTCAAGAGTATCAGTTTAGCAACGGAAACATGGCGGCCTTCGTTTGCCCAGCAAAACTTTTTTTCATCACTGCATACCGACCAATCAAATGAAAAAAATAAAATTATGTACCCGTCAACAGATCAGATTTCTCATGACATAGAAGCTTCAGTTTTGAAAAAAAAATATCAGTTACTTTTCTCCCAAAACAATCTTATCAAACTATTGAAAAATTTGGAAGAATATACAATTACATGTATAAGTGACTGATTATCTTAACTGTTGCGGCACTCGGTATATGATTTCGCG